GGAACTATATGCCCCCATCCTATCATGGACCTGCATAAGTTAGTGCAGGGCACAGGGATAGGAGAATGGGTGCAGATATAGAAAGGGGACAAACACAATAGGCCTCACAGGTCGCAGTGTTTCCGGCAGAGGATGGCCCCTTGTTGTGAAAAAAAATCCTAGTTAGATATTTTATTTAAAAAAAGAGCGAAATTTGCTCAAACATTATATATCTAGGGAACGGGGGCTATTTATCTAGTATAAGGGAAAAACTCCGGGTCTTCTTAAGGCAACGAAACTAATGAAACTGTTACGCGACAGCGAACATTCGATATCGAATCGAATAAGGTGATTTATCAATTGAATCCGGGGCCCGAAGGTTGACACCGCTCCAACACTGATAGTTGGGGAATTAAAGAGGAATTTTCAAACAAGCGCTGAATATTGAACTGATTTGAATAGGAAAGCTTGAACAACCTTAATTGAAATCTACGATCGAACACTGTTGAGTGATTAGTTGATTAATACGGCTTCGCTATTTTTAAAACTCGAATAATGTCTTTTGTAATGTCGATTGCTCCGTTTTTTGTTCTTTAGAGAACGATATTTTATTTCCGATTCAGTTAGGTTGTTAATAATAAAGGGCATCGCTGTAAATAGTTCTTGTTAGGTATTACTAATTAAGTACTTTCCCAACGGGATTGTTTTAATTGGTAGATTGTCTCGTTACACCAGACGCTTTCCAAATTACTTTAACACAATATTCTTTAAAAGAGAACCTTAAAAAGAAAGGAAAATTATTGAAAATCTTGAAATTTCATTATTAATGAAAAAATAATGATTATTTGATAGTTTTGTGTACTACGCTGTATCTCGGAAAGTATTAGTTGTAGGGCCTGCGGAAAAAATATTTATAACTTATATAAGCCATGTATATAGCAAAATAAAACACTAAATCACCACAATACACCAAACCACTTTTACTTTTACAGTGGACGCGCGTTTCGCTAACCATGTTAGCATCATCTGACATCCATGTATATAGTTGCCCATGAGAAATTGCTAGAAATTATTTTCAAGTTTGTATAACGGCCGCTAGAGGGCGCAACTGTTATGGAAAATAAAAAAATAGAATTTTTACAAAATTTTTCCTAGGTAAGAGGTACTATAAATAATAGCTTCATAATCTTCAGTACCGTATGATCGAAAAAAAACGGCATCCAGTTGGCTTGGAAATGACGATAGATGACATTTCCCATATAATTTTACATATAAAATGACAGCGATCTTTATTTCATAGCTATCGTCGGCGCCGTTTTTATTCGATCATACGGTAGAATGTAGTGAATGTAGAATGTTTAGGAGGGGAGTTAATCACCGCGACCTTTATAGACCCCTATTGTGTATTCCCCTTTTTTGAGTTATAACAGGTTATAACTCATCATACAGTCTCAGGGCTTTAACAAAAGCCAGTATCTGAGACGGCTCTACAGAGGCCAGCTTTCCATCCTCGACATTCAACAAGTTCATGGCACTAATAATGGTCGTCGTCTCGGCGCACTTAGTGATAAGGTCTTCTGGTGTTTCCCCATTTTCCCCACAGAATCTGCATTCGCCGTTGTTTCTCAGCTTCAGCCTACTGAGGTGTTCGTTGAGGAGACAATGTCCTGTTAGAAACCCCGTGACAATCCGAAGATTGTTCTGACTTAAATCAAAGAAAACCTTTGATTTTTCTCGGTCGTAAGTTCTGAGAAACTTTTTTGAGTGTCTTAGACCGTTGGACACCCATTCCAAGTTACGGATGGAGTCTTCCAGATTCTTCAGTTCCGCTTTCGGTATATATAATCTTCAGTAAATTTCAGATTTTTTTTGTTAGAACTATTTCCCCCTACCTGCTAAAATATAGTGGCGGAGGAAGGTTGGTTCTGTTTCTATTTAAATGTTGATAACTCCGGACTGGATGATCAGAATCTAACAAACGAGGGCTCGCTTAAAAGAGCGTTCCTTACTCTATTTTACATCATAAAAAAAATAATAATAATAACCTTTTGAACGTAAACGCGTACGCCTATATACGCATTTAAGTTTTTCCAAAAACCTTAAATAGCCATATGAATAAATACTGCGTGTATCTGAGAAACCAATTATTTGAAATACTTTAAATACCAGAAATGTTTATTTTTTAATTCTATAGATCTAGTAAAAAAATAGTATACAGAGTGTTCCATTTAAAAAACAAAGAAAAGTTATTTTGTATCTTAGAAAGTTTGGCGTTGAATTTTGAACATCCTGTATGATTTAAGATTACGATATTTATAAAAAAGTTAAGTGTGGACCATTTAAAGTAAATACCTAATATAGTTTTAATTTCAGGACATTTCTTGTATTTTTAATATTTTTTTAAGAAAGGCTGAAAAATATATATTTTTTATTTATTTATTAATAACTCTGAAACTATCGATAATATTTATCATGGTTTTAAGGGGGATCTCGCAACTTTCTGCAATAGAACTGAGTTGCGATATTCGAAATTTCTTACATTTAATGTTTTCTATATAGGATATTCTATCTTACACTAATATTTAAATATATGTTGTACCTAATTCTGAAATTAAAAAAAAATGGTGTTAGTAATATATTATATATTTTAAAATAATTCTATAAAAAGACTTAATTTAATATCCCCATTCACTCCAAGTGCTACTTCAAAAATAAATCTGCCGTTTATTTCGTCTGATTACTAGCTGAATTACCGGTAATTTAACAATTTACTGTCGCAATAACCTATATTTTTGTACTATAAAGAACCCATTAAATGGCACTTTTAGTGTACTGGACATATAACTATTGCAGAAAATCGTTTTAATGTAACAATATAATTTTTATGTTACAATTTTTCGAAGAACAACGTTCGATAGTTTAACCGCGCCTTGCAGAAACATATATAAAACTTAAATATAGTGTAATAAAATGCTGAACTTACAAAGTTTATGATGATATGTGAGATTTATAACTTTAGAATATACAAGGAGGGTGGAATATACGAGTAGTGACAATAGATATTTTTTTACCACTACATATTATGTAATAACTGATATTGCTGACTTTTGAAAAAAATTGAAAGTGTCACATTTCTTTCCTCTTCCATTTCCCTCACCCATTTCCCTCGTCAATTTAAATCACCCATTTACCTCACTCGGTTTTTCTTATTTCTCGCCTCATTTAATTAACCAAACTATTCTTATAATATCTTTATTAAATACTTATCTAACATCAACAAAGGAGGAGACAGGACACTGTCTCCTCAACGAACACCTCAGTAGGCTGAAACTAAGAAACAACGGCGAATGCAGATTTTGTGGGGAAAATGGGGAAACACCAGAACACCTTATCACTGAGTGCGCCGAGACGACGACCATTCGTGCCATGAACCTTGGTACGTCTGATGTCAAGGATGGAGAGCTGGTCTCTGTGGGAGCTGTCTCAGATACCTGGCTTTTCTTAAAGCCCTGAGATCTGCATGATGAGTTATAAACTCGTTATACCTCAAGAAAGGGGAACACATAATAGATCTATAAGGGTATTCTTGATTAATATCTTTATTAAATACATTATCTACATCTCAAACAAAAATAAACAAGAAGATTAACAATAATAATTGAAGATTTTATTACATTTATCTGTTGAAGGTAAAAATGCTAGACTTCTTTGGCTTAATTAATGTGATATTTTGATGTCAGTCTTTTCCCTTAATTCTAGCATTGTCCGTCATGCTGTACGTAGCCCAAAGACTAGATGGCTTTTTCTGCCTTGCCATGTTGCCAAAATATGCCATCAAGACTGTCTCCGAAGTATGGAGTGTAGAGGTAAGGAGAAATAACTCCGTGCATTAAAAAATGGTCAAAAAAAGGGAAGAATTAGGATGGCGCTGCTGTAGCAAGAACCTAAAATTTAAGACATGCGCCGAACATTTTTAGAGCCGCTGAATCAGCTGATTCAAAAGACATAAATATTTGACGTGAATCGTAACGTGAAGCCCCGGGTTTCAAAAAATACAAATTTAATTTTCATGGCACATGAAATAACTTACAGATTTTTATTCAGCAGCAATAGACTAGGTCCTTTTTTTATTGTTTCTCATAAGTTATTTCGCAAATGTCATTCAAGACGACGAAAAAATATTCTGATCATTTTAGCTTAAAATTAATGTTAATTATAATTAAGAAAAATTTTATTTAAAGTAATAATTGGTGATAGGTTTAAAATAAATATAATGCAGCTTTAAAATAACTTCATACCTACATTTATTTAGTATAAAAGTAAGTCAATATGTGGTTTTATTATCGATTATTCAGAAGCAATAGACTGAGCCTCTTTTTTATTGTTTCTCATAAGTTATTTCGTAAATCTCATTCAAGATGAAAAAGCTTTAGTTTAAAATTAATGTTAATTATAATTAGGAAAATTTATTAAAAGTTTAATTGATGATATGGGATTTAAATAAATATAATGCAGGTCAAAAATAACTTAACACATTTTATTTAGTATAAAAATTAAGCCAATATAATATAATTTTATACTGTACAAGTATTTATTTACGTTTTGCCATCGTAGTTGCCATTCATTCAGAATAGTGGATTTTAAATGTTCGATAGTCGGATGGCTTAACTACCTTAATATCAACTACTTCTAGACAAGAATCGTGTGCAGTATTATCTTCTTTTTCACTCCCAGCTATTCCAACATGGCTTGCATAGCTTGGGACGTGAAATAATATAATTTTATAACCCTTCCAGATCCTCATGTCTTCCTTGTAGTTCACCCAATAGAATCGTTCTCGCAGCTTCCTCCCAAGTTGGTAGTTGCTATTCATTCAGAATAGTGGATTTTAAATATATTTGGTAGTCGGATGGTCTAACTATCGTAACAATAACTACTTTTAATAATTCTTTTTCTCAATTCTTTTCACTATAATTTGCATCCCACGTATTGTAATATTTTCCTTTGAATTTCGTTTTCTATTGTCCCATGGCTTGAGACGTAATGTTATAGCCCTTCCAGATCCTCATGTATATGTCCCTTTTCCTTGTAGTCCACCCAATGGAACCTTTCTCTTAGCTTCCTCTCAAGTTGGTAGTTGCCATTCATTAAGAATAGTGGATTTTAAACATGTTTCGTACTCGGATGGTTTAACTACTGTAACATCATCAATAGATTGTATACCAACACATAATGGCCAAATTTCAACAGACTTTAATATTCATAAACCTCATCAGAAGAAAATATTTTTTGATCCAAAGTTTTATTTTCGTTATTAGAATAAATTACCTGCCATTTTTTAATTCATTACAACATTGAATAAAAGATGCAAAGTGTTTATACATACTATAATAGATAAATCTTCATTTAAAATTATGTGATAGATCTGCTTGCTTGTAACCTCTAGCTCTGCTAGACTCATAAACTCAATAATTTCTTTTATAGATATAACCAATAAAGTGGTAATGCTGAAATTTTGTTTTTGATTTGAGCAATAGGGTCCATTATTTCCATTATTTGATGCTGTTATTGCTCTACAAAATGTTGATCATTATCAAGGGATGTTTATGTGTATAATATTACTATTTATGTGTTATATGTATAATAATCTATCAAAAATCAAAATCATCAGGATAATATTAGGTATTGATTTTCAGACAAGAATTGGATTACAGGGATGGTCAAAAGCATTTAGATATTGCTTTGAAATCTAAGGTAAGGTATGGCAGTTTCATTTTAAAGAACAAGATGTTAAAGTTTGTGATAAAATTGTCATCAGAAATACTGTCCACTTCAGTATTTACATAGGAAAAGAATGAAGCTCTACCTACTACCTCAGGTTAATTTAAATTCTGAATTGCAACAACAGCAACAAGCCATTATATGAATATTATACACATAAGTATTATTATATACAGAAAGAGTAATGTTATACACATAAATATTAACATTTTGTAGAGCAACAACAGTATAAAAAACCAAAATATGAACACCAGCAACTAAAACAGGAACCATTAAATGAATATTATACACGTAAGTACAATTTGATCAAATAAAAAACGGCGTCAGCGATGCCTATGAAATGAAGATTGCTGTCATTTTATATGTAAAATGATATGGAGAATGTCATCGAGATGTTCATTTCCAAGCCAACTGGATGCCGTGTTTTTTCGATCATACATACCGTAGGCTTTGCCTTTGCTCTTTATTTTTCCATCAGCTATTCAATCAACTTCGCACAACACACACTTTAACCATTGTTAAATAATAAATAAAGCACAAAATATTGATAAACAATAATTATTTTATATTCAAAAACTCTGTCTAAAAAATAAAAACAAAACTTTTTTGGGTAATGTTTCGTTATATTTATTTTTATTCTCTTATCTATGGTTACTTTTCACTTTTTAGATTCATGCGTTTTTGGCGCCACTGTGGTTATTTGGCGAACCCTTATTCTTTCCATTTTGTGACCACTTTTTCAATAAAAGTCCGTAAGAGTTGTTTCTCCTTACCTCTACACTCCATACTCCGAAGCAATATTCTTAGCGTTTCTTTCGGCACGCCATTTTTCGTATACTTTCAATGCTATTTCATATCGCCCCCTACTGTTCTCTGGAAGTAAACTGGCTTCTGCTATTTTTGCAGCTTCTGTAAGTTCTGGTATCAATATTAATGTAGTCTTTATTATCAGAACTTGCCGACAACATTCTGGCTTTCTGTATTATATAAATTCGAAAAAGCGAACGAGAAATTCAAAACTGTCACTTAGTAGTTTGTTTTGCTGCTGAACGTTTGCGCCATAACAACCACTGGTACCGGTAACTATATGGAAATGCCAAAACAGAAAACGACAAATTTTCGCATATTTTTTTTTTAAATAAAATACTGCCCCTATTGTTGTAAATAAAATAGTATACAAACCTCTGAGAAAAGTTTTCATTATTGTCTAGAGATTTAGTTAATCTCTCGACAGTAATGAAACACTTCCCTCCTCGGTATGTTATATACTATTACATCAATCAGTTACTTGGCTTAGTGAAAAAAAACCTTTGTTAAATTAAATTTATTTAATTACTATTTTCCATCGTTCGGCATACGTTAAACGTATACCACTTCTTACACATACGTAGCGCTTCAGAAAGTTATTTATCCTTCAGTATGTTCCCCTTGAATGTACACTTAGATATCAATTTCACCCTCTTTATGTAACAATCGTAAAATTGTGGTTGATATCTAATACACCTCATGTAGTATAATGTTTTCTCCAATTTACATGATGTGTGGTTTGCGTAACGTAATATTATAGATAACGAAGAGATCCAAAAGGATTGAAATAATCGGCTATTCCGACAGTAAATTTAAAAAATTCCAATATACATCCTAAATATTTTTACAATTTATTTCTATAATCTGTACATTTTCTGTTTCCTCAATAGCCCGCAAATTTTGAGGAATACCACCCTAAATACATATATTATGTAAATGCCAATAATGTTATCGCTTAAATTTATTTAAGAGGATAATAAATTTTGAACGTAGCCAACAATTTGTATTTATAATGATTTAAACCAAACTAACCTAAACTAATCCCACTCAAAATACATCTTTTAATCGGAACTAAATTGCCTAAACATTTTTGCTAATAAAAGGAAAAAAATCAGTGGCGCACAATTATGACTCTTGGCTAAGTATTAATTTTTATTTGCTTGTGATGTAGTAAAAATTACGTTTTCCAGTTTTGTTTAGTTAATATTATTTTGCTGTATTTAAAAAATGTGTTAATTTTTATTTTTTTTAGAATATTTGTAGGTATTTAAGTAATCTACAGGAACACGGTTTGATAACCAAGTCTATGAAATTTATTGATAGAGAAATTCATGTAAATGTTTTATTCAAAAAATGTGTTCTTAATATTATTCTTCATTTTTTAAAGAACAAAAGACTTAAGCCCCCCTGGGCTCAACCCCAGTTTTGAGTCTATATTTTTTAATTCTCTTTCGTGTCGATTGCTGATTGAATTGGAGCCAGAAATGGCTCAAAACGAAATAAGTAAATTACCAACAGATATTCTGGCTGAGGCGTCAAACGCCATATCCAAACTACTTCCATTTAAATTCCGAATAACTTATGAAAAGGAATATTACAGTTGAGGGTTGGAACCTTTGGTGTTACACAGCAAAATAAAAACACTAAATCACCACAATACACCAAAACACTTTTACTTTTACACTGGACGCGCGTTTCGCTAACCATGTTAGCATCATCAGCAGATGATTATAAACTAAAGTACAATCTACAAGTTGAGCGTTTATATAGTCGCCCAGTGGGCACCGAGTGTTCTTCGTTGTTCCCAAGTGTTCCAATTCCACATACTTTAGGCTACTTGAAGGAATTACTGAACGCAAATGGTCTCGACAACAAAACTGTGACTGAATATATTAAGCTTACATCGTTATGTATGAAACAAAATTGTTTACTATTTAATAACAACTTTTTTGAACAGCGGGAAGGTACAGCAATGGGTAATCCATTGTCTCCATTTTTGGCTAATTTATTCATGAGCAGGTTTGAAGTGGAGGCAAGAATCAGTTTGAGTATTTTCCAAGAGTATGGTTTAGGTATGTGGATGATATTTTTGCTGTTTTTGACAGACATTCAGACACCATAGATAATTTTATTTCTAAGTTAAATAATCGTTTTTCTTCCATTAAATTTACGCATGAAATTGAGAACAACGACAGATTACCATTTCTAGATGTATGAGTTATTAGAAATATTAATAATTGCCTGGAATTTAATATCTATAGGAAAAATACGACCACACGCAGATATATTCCTAATGAATCACATCATAGTGTTGAACATAAAATGGCTAGTTTAAATTTCCTAGTTCATAGATAACTTAGTTTCCCACTTTCCAAAGAAAGATATGAAATAGAAAGAGATTACATTAGGAATGTAGCTGAGTGTAATGGATATTCTCCTTCACTAGTTGATAAATTAATTAGAAAACGTAGGTATAGGTTAATGATTTCTGAAAATTCGACTTTTCAAGTGGAGAAAGACACGTCTAAATATTTTTCGATGCCGTTTGATAGAGAGTTATCCCGTGGTCTAAAAGGAATTTTGAAGAATGTAAATTATAAACTTGTGTATAGTGCTAATAATAAATTACAACAATTATTAGGTAATCCAAAGGATAAAACACCTCCACTGGAAAGGTCGGGTATTTATGAAATTTCTTGTAAAGATTGTAATCAGAAATATGTTGGGCAAACTAGAAAATCAATATTAACTAGATTTAAAGAACATTTAGCTCAGATAAGATATGGTAGACCGGATAAATCTTGCGTTGCCGAACATATTGTTGATAAAGAACATTGTATAGATCTTAATAATTTATAATTAATTAAACAAGTCTCAAATTACAGGCAATTAGATGCATATGAAAGCATCAGAATTAATAAATGTAAAGATAGTATGAACATAGACAACGGTCCAATTCCTTCAAGTTCTTTGTTCCTACTACTCTAGTGGCGGAAATCTAACTGTTACACTCAGTGGGCTCTGACTCGGTTGGCTAGATTTTGCCACGCCCACTCGGTGCCCACTAAGCGAGTATATAAACGCTCAACTTGTAGATTGTACTTTAGTTTATAATAAGCTGCTGATGATGCTAACATGGTTAGCGAAACGCGCGTCCAGTGTAAAAGTAAAAGTGTTTTGGTGTATTGTGGTGATTTAGTGTTTTTATTTACAGTGTAAAAGTAAAAGTGTTTTGGTTTATTGTGGTGATTTAGTGTTTTTATTTCACTGTAAAAGTGTTTTGGTGTATTGTGGTGATTTAGTGTTTTTATTTTGCAATATTTTTTTCCATAGCCAGTTACGGTTTAAAAAATATTTAGAAATTATTATTTTAAGGTATTTATTACCAGTAGAAAAAATATTGTGCTGGGTTGGCGTTGGTTTCTATATAATTTGACAAATAAATAAAGCTGTCTCTTTCGTTGTCAGTTTTGAGTCAATATTTTTTATTTCTCTTTCGTGTCGATTACTGATTGAATTGGAGCCAGAAATGGCTCAAAACGAGGTAAGTAAATTACCAACAGATATTCAGGCTGAGGTGACAAACGCCATCTCTAAATTACTTCCATTTAAATCCGCAATAACTTTTAAAAGGAATACAAAAATCTTCAAAAATGGAAGCAATTAAAAAACGTGCTAGAAGAAAGGTCAAGTGAAAACATACTTTTAGCATATTTTTCT